GCCCCCCCTGCCAACCCCGCTGCGTGCCACCCCCCGGGCTGCAAGGCGGGTTGAGCTGGCATGGTGCAGCAAAGCAATTCTCCCGGGGCCTTGCATTTAGCTAGCCCTGATGGGCCGGGGGGGGGTGGGGGGACGTGACCTTGGCCTGGCTTCTCCCCGCTGCATTGCAAGAGCCGGGTGCTGCTCTCCCAGGTGGAGGTGCCTGGGGGCAGGGATGCCGGTGAAACCACGCAGGAGCCAGGCACACAAGGCTCCAGGTGCCAGGCTCGGGGCCCTCCAGCTCCGTTCCCAGGGACCTTGGCCCGCAGCGTTGTGGGGGAGAGGGGCTGGGGCCCTCCAGGCCCCGAGAAGAGGGGACGCTGGGGCTGGAAGGTGTCTGCGCGGCCCCAGGTCTGGCTGCATGCGCGGACCCTGTGGCGCAGCAGCTCTGGGGGGCTCCGGCATCGGGCAGGGGCTGCTGCAGCTGGTACCCGCGGGGCTGGAGGTTGCAGGGCACGGCCTGGCTCTGATGGTGCTGTGTGATGCTCGCGCTTGGCTGCTTTCCCCGGCCCCTGCTGGGCTCTCTGCAGAGGTTGCCCCCGGGCTCCCCATCCCTATGGGCCTGCCCCGCGGACGGGCACCTCCCCGCGGCTCCGCGCCCACCCCCGGCACCCGGAGCTCTGCACAGACACGTCCATCCTGACCCGCCTGCCTGCCCGGGCGGCTTCCCCGTTGCTTCCAGAGGACGAGAAGACCCCGGGCTACTGGAACCGGCGAGCCCAGAGGACGCTGGAGGCAGCCTTGGCCCTGACGCCCGTGACGCACCGCGCCAAGAACATCGTCCTCTTCATGGGCGACGGTGAGTTCATCCCTCCCCGCCCCAGCACTGGCCCAGCACCATCGTGGCAGCCCCCGGGGACGGGGACAAGCAGCTCCCAGCATGCACTGGGCCACACTCCCGCCAAGCCCTGCCCTCGCAGACCTGGTCCCTATTGCGCGAAGCCGGGTCCTGCCTGGTCCAGAGCCAAGTTTCACTGGCAGCAGCCCTGGGGAGGGGGCTATGGGGCTATGGGGGCATTAGCACCCAAGGGTGGCCCCTGGGCTGTTCCTCCAGCCACCTCCCTAACAGACCCCTCCTCCACTTCTGCCTCAGTTTCCCCAGCAGTGACCTGGGCTGTGTTGTCCCCCACAAGTGGGGGGGGGCGTCAGCATGAAGGGCCTCATGCTCAGACCGGGCAGAGGTGCTCAGGGCAGACACATGAGCCATCCCAGCCTGGGGAGGGCTGGAGCTGGTGCCCCCGGGCTGTGGGCAAAGCTTGCAGGTAGCCCTGCCGGGGACTCGCTCTGTGCCGAGCACCGGGAGGCCGCGCCCGGCCCATCCCTCCAGTGGTGCCAGGCTGCGGGTCGTGCCAGGACGCCCTTGACAAGTCAGGCCACCAGATCTCCCTGCCCCACCGTGTCCCCGGGAAGAGCCTGGATCCTGGCAGCTGGGAGCACGGGCATCAGAGCTCAGCTGCAAGGCAGCATTAGGCCTCTGCAGCAGGGAAACTGAGGCACAAGGCGAGGGCCGGGAGTCACCCACACTCCCCTGTGGCAGCTGGATCTGTTCTCTCTCTATCTGGATATTAATAATAGTAGGGCTGGGCACTGGGGGAGAGCTCTCTGGGCAGCGAGCAGTACAAGGGCTCTGACACCGCTGAGCTGGGTCGACGCCGGCCGTGGGGCACCCGCTGCCCTTCTGCTTTGGGGGCGGGGGTAGGGTCTCCCTCCAACCCCCGTCTGATGGGGCAGAGAGCTCAGCCATGCCCGGATCCAGGAGCAGCACGACTGACCGCGGGCGGGGGTCCGGGTGGGGGCACTGACCCGTCCGTGCTGGGCAGCTCGGAGGGGCTGACGTGAGCCGGGGCGGTGCCTGCAGGGATGGGCATCTCCACCGTCACGGCCGCTCGCATCTACAAGGGGCAGCTGGAGGGCGGGCCCGGCGAGGACAGCTTGCTGGCCATGGAGACCTTCCCCTACCTGGCTCTCTCCAAGGTGAGTGCCCAGGCGCGGGGACCGGGCTGGCTGCAGGGCCCCCGGGTGCTGGGGACAGGGATGAGCTCCCCGGTGCCCCGGGCCCTGGCCCCATTGCCCAGCCCTGCGAGGAACGCCCCAGATGTGGGCACCCCGTCCCCTTCCCGGCCTCCCCACCCTGGCTCACGGCAGCCCTCGTGTCCCGGCAGACATACTCTGTCGACCGGCAGGTGCCCGACAGCGCCAGCACGGGCACTGCCTACCTGTGCGGGGTGAAGGCCAACGCCAAGACCCTGGGGGTGAGCGCCGCGGCCCAACACGGCAAGTGCGGCACCACCTTCGGCAACGAGGTGGACTCCGTGCTGCACCGGGCCAGGCGAGCGGGTAAGAGCGGGCTGGTGCATGTTCCACCGGGTCAAGGGCTCATGGGCTCTGCCCTGCCAGCCAGGGCAGCACAGGGCAGCCCAGCTCTCTGGGTCTCAGGACCCAGTCTGGGCTGGCCTCCCGGCCTATAGACTGCCCCTAATTATCAGCCGAGGAGTGGGGTGGTACCAGCCGTGGAGGCTGGCGTGTGGCTGTCTCTCCCAGGCGGGGTCTCTGGAAGGGAAAAGCACAGGGCTGAGCTGACCCAGCCCAGCTCAGGTCCGGCCCAAGCTGCGTCCCCCTGGCCACCAACCCGGCCCCTCTCTTGACCCCCTTGTCCCCTCCGCCCGCGGACTCAGTGGTGCCCGTTGCCCTCCCTGCGTCACAGGCAAATCCGTGGGCATTGTGACTAGCACCCGTGTGCAACATGCCTCGCCCGCGGCTGCCTACGCCCACACGGTCAGCCGGACGTGGTACAGCGATGCCAGCTTGCCCAAGGAGGCCGCGCGGCAGGGCTGCCGGGACATTGCCTACCAGCTGGTGCACAACACGGACATCAATGTGAGTGGACGGGGGCAGGCGGCTGCAAAAGGGGTTGCAGGAGGCACGGTGGACTCTGGAGCAGGCCCCTGTGCCCCTAGCAAGGCAGTGGCACGTGCCAGGGCCCAGCGCTGGGGAGAGGGAGACCTGCTGCCTCCGGGCAGCTTGAGGTCTTGTCGTGTGCCGGCTCACGGCCACACCAGGCACCTCTCCGGGGTGGGGTGTCTGAAGGGGCCGGGCTCCCCGTGTCCGGTTGGCAGGTGATTCTCGGTGGTGGGCGGACGTACATGATGCCCAGGGGGACGCCGGACCCTGAGTACCCGCAGGACCCGAAGCAGAACGGGGCGAGGAAGGACGGGGTCCACCTGATCCAGACGTGGCTCAGCACCAGGAAGGTACCGCCTGCAGCGTCGGCCGTGAACGGGGGAGAGGGCGGCCTCCCGGGAAGGGTCCGTCTTGCTCTACAGGAGGGGGGCAGCACGCAGTTGGGTCTCTGTGCGCATGGCACGCCTGTGCACATAAACACGCGTGGAACACGCCACGTTTGTGACATGCATGATGCGGTGCTACTGGACCCGTTGGTGTGCGTGTTGTATGTGAATGTGGGGCTCACACGTGTGGCCCCACGATGTGTGGGGATGTACTCAGCATGGGTGTGTGTGCGTGTGTGTGCACGTGAAACCTTTGGCCGCACGGTTCCCAGAGCCCCTCCTGTCCTTGCTCCCAGGGGGCCAGGTACGTCTGGGATAAGAAGGGCCTGGACTCGGTTGATGAGACGTCCACCGACTACCTCATGGGTAAGAGCGGGGCCCAGGCCAGGCCACAAGTCCCACCCGTGGCCGCCTGCCTCTCTGCCACTGGTGGAAGAGGCAGGTGGTCCCGCCTCACCCTCCCACGTGCTCCTCTACACGTGGTTCCTCTGCTAGCAGGGGCGAGACCCCCCAAATGGGCTGAGCCCCCTCCTGCCCGCAGCCCTGCCGCCGGGGGGCTGCGGTGCAAGTCCCAGGTGCCCGCGGGAGACCACCTCTGCACGAATCCCCTTGCCATGTGCCATCTGCCCGCCGGTGTCCTGCCCGTGGCCTCTGCGTGGGCACCGAACCTGCCGGGGGCCTGGCTGGGTTTCCTCTGAGCCCTATGCACCCCGTGGCACCCCGGCCCCGCTGCCAGCACGGGGGGCAACAAGCAATAGCAGTGCCCAAGCCCAGAGCGCCCCATCTGACGCACTGTGAAATGAGGCCCCCGCCGCTGTCCCCGCAGGCCTCTTTGAGCCCAAGGACATGAAGTACCAGCTGAACCGCAACACGTCCACGGACCCCTCTCTCGTGGAGATGACGGAGAAGGCCGTCCGCATCCTGCGCCGCAACCCCCGCGGCTTCTTCCTCTTCGTGGAAGATGAGTAGGGGCTCAGCTCAGCCCATCCCCAGAGGGCCAGGGAGGGGCACGGGGGGCAAAGCCGTGGCAAGTGGCTCACTCAGCACCGCTGGGTGGGGGGATGCATTGCAATGCACTGTGGGATAGCGGTGGGTGCAAAAGGCGGTCCTGTGGCGGGTGACTTGACCATGACCTTTGACTCCAGGGGATGCCCCCCCACTGTGATCCCAGCCCCGTCCCCAAGCAAGGAGGCTCCAAGGGGCATGGGGGCAGGGCTGGTCCAAAGGGCAGCGAGCGCCAAGGGCTTTATGGGCTGTTGGTTCCCCCTGCACGAGGCAAGATCGACCACGGGCATCACAGCGGCAAGGCCAAGAAGGCCCTGACCGAAGCCATCATACTGGACCAGGCGGTGGCCAAGGCCGTGGAGCTGACCGATGCCGCCGAGACCCTCACCGTGGTGACAGCTGACCACTCGCACGTCTTCAGCTTTGGTGGCAACACGCCGCGTGGCAGCAGGATGCTGGGTACCTGGGGCTGGGCTGTGGCCGGGCTGCGATGGACAGTGGCTGCGGGGGTCTTTCTTACGGGGCAGCGAGGGGTTGGGTGTGAAAACCAGGAATGGGGGCTCGGCACTCCTCGGAGCTCCTCCCTGGCACCGCAGGAGGGTTTGATGCCATCGCCTTGCTGCGACAGGACTGGCGCCCAAGAAGGCCAGGGACAAGCGGCCGTACACCAGCATCCTGTATGGCAATGGGCCCGGTTATGCCATCAAGAACGGGAGTCGCCCTGACATCAGCCTCACGGCCATCGGTAAACACCGCAGAGCCCGTCCTGTCGCTGCGGCACGGGTGGGAGCGCGGGGCTGGGGGAGCTGTGTGCCACCCCCAGGGTGGATCACTTCTCCATGGGTCACGCAGAGGCCTAGCCCCCATCCCGGGGCTCAGCTGGCACCTCTGCCGGGCACTGCTGGGCACAGCCGGCGCTGCATGCAGTGCGAGGGGACTCCCCAGGAAGGCCGGGCTGGTGGCAGGTCACAGCGACCAGCAGCCCCTGTGCTCAGCAGGCTTTGCGCTGGCCCTTGCGGGATGAGACGAGTTTGCCAGGTCTCTGCCCCATGCCCACGCCCAGAGAGCAGCTGTGATTGATCCTGGGCTCTGCCTGGAGGAGACCCGCTCTGCCCCTGGCAAATGGGACACTGGGGCTCAGTGCTTTCGGTAGCCGCTCGGCAAGCGATGCCCCAGGGTGCTTTGCAGGCAGAAATGCACGGACGGGTGTTGCTTATCTCCTGTTGTGCAACGGGGACGGCGTTTTATCTGCGTGATTGCCGGGCACATGGGTCACCCGAGCCCGTGACTCACCGTTCAGCTGGAGCTGGCGGCGCTGAGCTGTCTGTAAGGTGCTCTGGCGGCCGGCCAGCCGTGCCTCCCAGGCCCCGGCACTCACCAGCTGGGCTCTGGGGGCGCGCGAGTAGGGGGTGGTTGGGAACCGGGGTCGGTATTGAGGAGCCTCTCGCCCGCAGAGGACAAAGACTACCGGCAGCAGGCAGCCGTGCCCCTGGACACCGAGACGCACGCCGGCGAGGACGTGGCCATCATGGCCAAGGGCCCCATGGCCCACCTCTTCCACGGGGTGCAGGAGCAGAACTACATCGCCCATGCCATGGCCTACGCGGCATGCCTCGAGCCCTACCACACTGGCCCCGAGTGCCAGGCGCCCAGCGGGCGATCCGGCAGCCCGGGTCTCTCCCCCTTCCTCCCGCCCGGCCTCCTCGCCCTGGCCGCAGCCTCCCGCCTGCTGGGGGTCTGAGAGCAGGTCCCGCCGGCCCCGGGTGGGACCGAGTGTCCTCAGGCCCTGCCGTGTATATAACTTTGTAATAAAGCCCTGCTGCCCCCAGGAAGGATCTGCCGACTGCTGCTTTGTTGCCCCCTCCTTCCGTGCTCCCCGGGCGGCTGGGAAAGCCCCCAGGCAGGCCTGAATGGGGGCAGTGGGGTGAGGGGGCTCAGCCGGGTCCCTGGATTGCCACGCTGGAGGGGCCACCCTTTGTTCCCCGCTCCGGCTGGTCCTGGGTGCTCAGGACCCGCTGCCATGGCCCGTTCACTTCACCTGCCATTATCCATCGCCCTCCCACTGCCCTGAGATGCAGGGCGACTGGAGAGCCGTGTGGTAGCCCTCAGACCGGGGGGATTGTGCATGCTCCAGCATCTTCCTCCCCTTCCGTTCAGAGAGATTTTGTGCTTCGGGGGGCTGAAAGCGGGGTGGGTGCGTGGCCAGGTTGGGCAGCAGCTTGGCGACTTTTGCACCGCCCGATGGCTTTGCCGGTGCCCCTCAGCCCTGGCCTGCAGCCCCCTGCCAGCCAAGCCGTGCCCGTGCCCGTGCCCATGCCCCTTGCTCCCGACCTGGCGCTGCTGGCCAGTGCATCCGTGTGGAGCAGGCCTCGTGCCCGCAGGTGTGCACGGGGCAGTGCTGAGCCAGCGCTCTGTAATCGCTGCCCACGGGCGGCACCTGCCCTCAGAGCTGTAAAATCCTCTCCTGGTCATGCCCACGGGGCGGGCAGGCTCCACAAACACCTGCAGGTCCAAAGTCCCGTGGCAAGTGGTGCATAGGCACACGGCGCGTTCAGAGTCCCTGCAGGTGTCCCGGCTGCAGCCTGCCCGCTCCCAGCATGCGGTGTCCACTGCTCCTCGTGCTCTGGGCTGGGGTCTGGGCCAGCTGCTGCTGTGTCGTCATCCCAGGTAACCCCAGCCTCTTCCCCAACCTGGCACAGCTCGTGGGCCTTTCTCCTTGGGACGCTGGCACAGGCGCGGGCCAAGCACTGGGGCTCACAAGTAGCTTCGGGTTGGTCTGGAGAGCAGGCGACGTGTCGGCACGCGTGTTGGGGTTGCGGGAATGGGATCAGCAGGGCACCCATGCCCTCAGGTCCGGGGGGGCTGCATTGCAAGCACCCACCGGTGGAGGTGGGGATGGGACTTTCCCAACGGCTGCCTCAGCCTGGCACGTGCTGGAGACGTGGCTTTGCCAACGGGCGAGCGCTCCTTAGCTGTGCGTGGCGCAGAGTTAACGAGGCAGGAGTGGCCACCCCTCGGGTCCTTCCACCCCCGGTTCCTGGGGCCGAGGGTCCCATGGCTGGCTGCTCCATTCCCGTGGGGGCGGTCTGTGCCCGGCGCTAATGCCCTGTCCCCCGTGTGCCCCTGAAGAGGCGGAGAAGCATCCCTTGTTCTGGAACCAGCAGGCATCCAAAGCCATCCAGGCCGCCCTCGCCCTCCAGCCCAAGCACTACCCGGCCAAGAACCTCATCCTCTTCCTGGGCGATGGTGAGTGCCCCCCGGGCCCTGCGGAGAGGGTGCAGGTCTGGCTCTGCCTGCAGAGTCCCATCGCTCAGAGCTGGGCCATCTCCCCACGGGCACCCTCCGGCCAGTCCCAGTGCCCCAAGAGCCCCCGACCCATGTTGCAGGGCTCAGGGCAGCAACCTGAGGTGGCCAGGGTGTGGGGTGGGGGGGGTTGGCCCTGGGTAGGAGCCCAGGGGTGCTGGGAGGTGATGTTCCCGGTGCTGGGAGATGGTCTGACGTGTGGGTGCTGTGTCCCCTGCAGGGATGGGGGTCCCCACCATCACGGCCACGCGGATCCTGAAGGGGCAGCTCCAGGGCAAGCTGGGCCCCGAGACGCCGCTCGTCATGGACACCTTCCCCTACGTGGCACTCTCCAAGGTGCCTCCGGGGGGTGCTCAGCAGGGAGCAGCGTACAGCCCCTGGCGCAGGAGCAGCCGGCTGGCCCCTGAGAGACGCCCCGAGCTGGGGAAGGGCGTGCGGCTAGCTCCAGCCAGCGGGGCAGAGTCCCCTTCTCCTGCCGGCCGGTGCAGGGAGGGCTCAGCCCGTCTCCCAGGGCAGCGGGGGTACCGGGGGGGCAGTGATCTCCAAGGCTGGAGCAGAGGAGACGCTGGCAAGGATGCTTCTTGCAGGGGCTAGGCTGGGCCGGCAGCTCTTGCCCCTCCAGGCTGGGGGTCCTGAGCCCCCATCTCCTGGGCCGCGGGGCAGGGGGAGGGGTGGGTGTTGCCTCCCCCTGCCTGAACCCGTGCCCTGGCCTCTGCAGACCTACAACGTGGACCGGCAGGTGCCGGACAGCGCGGGCACTTCCACGGCCTACCTGTGCGGGGTGAAGGGCAACTACGAGACCATCGGGCTGAGCGCAGCCGCCCGCGTCTCGCAGTGCAACACCACGTCGGGCAACGAGGTCGAGTCCGTGCTGCAGAGAGCCAGGAGGGCCGGTAAGCGGTAAGGGTCGCCCTTAGAGACCCCTGTGCCCGCACCTGGGCACCTGCTCCCTATGGGGCAGGAGGGATCTTAAAGGGACAGGACCATGCATGGGCCAGCCTGTACTCAGGGGGAAATTCCCAGCTCGGGTATGGTGCCCGGTTTGGGAACAGCCCTTCTGGCTCCCCCATGGCAGCAGATGCCTCTGGGTCTGGGTTCGAGTGGCGGCCAGGGTAGGAGCCCGGGAGGTGGGTCCCCGTGGTTGCAAGGGTGAATGCCCAGGCTCTGGCCCCCGTGGCAGGGAAGTCAGTGGGGATCGTGACCACGACACGGGTGCAGCATGCGTCGCCTGCTGGCACCTATGCCCACGTGGTCAACCGGAACTGGTACGCGGACTCCAGCATGCCCCTGGACGCCCAGCGTGAGGGCTGCCAGGACATTGCCGTGCAGCTTGCCCGCTACGCGGACTTCAACGTGAGTGTCGGGGCTGAGGCAGCCGCCCCTGGCCCCACACCCCCTCCTCACACCTGCCCCAGGGGTCTGCCTCAGCGCCCCTGCAGGGGAGAGGAGAGGGCCATGCCAAGGGATGCCCATGCCAACACCTTCCCGGGGCACTTGGCTGTAGCACTTGGCCCTCTACTCCCTTGTGCCAGGGACTAGGTGCAGGCGTCTGACTCTGCCTCTCATGGCCAGGTGATCCTGGGGGGCGGGCGGAAGTACATGTTTCCCTCTGACACGCCGGACCCCGAGTACCCGAAGGAGAACGGGACGCGCAGGGACAGCAGGAACCTCGTGGCTGAATGGCTGGCTGCCAGGCCGGTGGGTGCCAGGCTAGGCTGGGGGCATGGGGGGGTCAATGAGGTTATGTGCACCGCCATGCTGGGGGGTAGCTGATGGGCCCCCTTGCCCCGAAGGGCTGCACTGGCTGGACAGGCGCCTGCTTTCGGGGCACATGGGGAGTCACTGGCGGGCTCACGGGTTGGTTCCTCAGGGGGCCAAGTACGTGTGGAAGAAAGCGGATATGATCAGCGCCAGCCAGGACCTGGCCGTGACGTACCTGATGGGTAACGAACCCCAGCACCCCTCCCCTCCCGTCGCCGCCTGGCCCCGGTGCCAAGGCAGCATCCTCCAGCCTCAGTGCCTGAGCGGAGACCCCCATCTCCTCCTGGCCCTGCCCGTGCCCCTGCCCCCTGGGCCATTTGCACATCCGTTTCCCAGCGCACTTTGCAGGCTGGGAGCTGCAGGTGCAGCCCCCTCTTGGGTGGGCTCATTTTTGGGATATGGTTTTTCCCAGGATGCTTTGTGGGTCTAAAGATCTGACAGCTCCTACCCCTCGTGTGTGTGCGTGCGCTTGTCCGTGCGTGTGCTTGTCCGTGCGTGTGTATGCTTGTGACCGTGCACTGGTGTATGTGCATGTCCGTGTGTGTGCATGTGTATCTGTGCACATGTGCATGTCTATGCGTGCATGTGTGTCCATGCATGTGTCCGTGTGTGTGCACGTGTGCATGTCCATGCATGTGCACGCCCCCCAGGCCTGTTTGAGCCAGCCGACATGAAGTATGAGTTCAACCGCAACCAGACGCTGGACCCGTCCCTCGCCGAGATGACGGAGGTGGCCATCAGGATCCTGAGCAGGAACCCCAAGGGCTTCTACCTCTTCGTGGAAGATAAGTCAGGCCGTGGCACTGGCACGGGAGAGCTGGGCCCAGCCCAGGCTGCCGTGGGCCCTGGTCTAACCCCGCCGTAGCTGGAGCTGGCTCATTCCCGGGAGGGCGCGGAGAGTTTCCTGGCTGGGGGTGCAGAGACGCCCCAAGCTGCGGGTCGGCTCTTCCCCCGTCTTCGGGACAAGCAGCTGCAGTGGCCCTGAGTCCTGGCAGCCTGGTAGGGGGGCAGGATGGGGTGAGCAGGGCAGCGCCATGCCAAGGGCAAGCCCCATCCCGTGGTCTCTGGCCACTTTGGCAGGGCACTGGGAGCTGCAGCTCAGGGGGAGGTGCCCCCCGACCATCCCTGGGGGCTCTGGTCACCCCAAGGACTGGGGGTACCCTGAGAGCGAGGTGGAGGGGAGCAGCCCCGGCACTGTCCGCTGCTCTCTCTACGTGCCCTGCTTGCGGCCATGGGGCGCCCTGCTCATCTCCACCCCTTCCCCGCATGCCCTCACGAGGCAGAATCGACCACGGGCACCACGATGGCATCGCCAAGGCAGCGCTGATGGAGGCCGTGGAGTTTGACAAGGCCATCCAGCAGGCCGACGAGCTGACAGACGAGGCCAAGACCCTCACTGTGGTCACGGCCGACCACTCGCACGTCTTCAGCTTCGGCGGCTACACGCTGCGCGGCTCCTCCATCTTCGGTACCGTGCGGGATGCGCCCCGGTGGCACAGCCACGCGAGAGGCAGTGTCCTGCCCAATGCCTAGCTCATGAGGGAGCTTGGAGTCCGTGCCTCCCGCTGCAGGGCTTGGAGGGACGCTGGGTCCTGGGTTCAGATTCTGCCACCAGCCTTGCTGGCAGCATGCCCTATGCCCGGGGACAGGCAGACCTCCCTGGACGCTAAGCTGTGGGACGGGGAAGCAGCTGGTGGTGCCCCTAGCTTGCCTGGCACTGCCTTTGCTCTGACTGCATCCTCTCCAGCCCTGCCAGGGGTCTCCTGGGGTGCACTGGCTCCACGTGGCACTGGGAAGGTGTCTGAGCCCTCGCCTGGCCTTTCCCCCTGCAGGCTTGGCACCCTCCAAGGCTGCGGACAACAAGTCGTACACGTCCATCCTCTACGGGAACGGGCCCGGCTACCCATACCCGGCACCCAGCCGTCCCGATGTCCTGAGGAGCGCTGTCGGTACGGGCATGTGCAGGGGGTTTCTCCCCCTAAGAGCTAGCTCTGAAAGGAGCGGGTGGAGGCCTCTGTCTGGACCCTACGGGACCCAGGACGTGGGTGATAGGGGTGGCAGCAGGGCTCAGGGCAGGGTACTGTGGCGGCACCATGGTCAGCAGTGGCTCTGGGGTCCCTCATACTTGTGCCCCCCTCTTCGCCCTCAACAGAAGACAATGCCTACCAGCAGCAGGCGGCCGTGCCCCTGGACTCGGAGACGCACGGCGGGGAGGACGTTGCCATCCTGGCCAAGGGCCCCATGGCCCATCTCTTCCACGGGGTGCAGGAGCAGACCTACGTGGCCCACGTCATGGCCTATGCCGCCTGCCTGGATCCCTACCAGGACTGCGGTCTGCCGGACACCTCCGGGGCTGCCTGCGCCGGCGCCGGCGCCTTGCCCGCCCTGCTGGCTGCCCTCCTCCTGTGGGTGCTGACTTAGCCCCACGGCCCCAAAGCCTGCTCCCCCCCCGCTTGCTCCGCAGCCTCGCACCCCGCACCCTCGGCCGCCCCAGAGCCCCCGGCCTGAGCCAGCTGCTACCGCGGCGCGTCGACCTGCTGCGGTCACACACCTGGGGGTCGGTCCCGCAGGGCTCGGGGGGCTGTGCCAGGCACGCGGGGAGCAGGCAGACTCCACCCCCTC